TTTTAACCGATTCTCTTTCTAATTCGGCAAATTCAATTTAGTAAATCGATAATCCTCGATAGTAAGAAGGTCTCCTCGAAAACTAGGCGGTACTCGATTCCGGACCAAAAGTCGAATTAATTGCTTGATCCTCGATCAATTTTAAAGTCCAAGGTCCGAGAAACGTGAGGCCATATACAAATATAAATTCCATAAAACGAGATTCCATAGAAATACAGTTATTCGCAATTACAGGCCGGCTCGCGGCGATACTCGCAATTAATGCAATTAATGCAATTAATGCCTTCGGAAATTTTCGAATGTATTTTCACCGACGAGGAAAGTCGGCGGCTACTTTTTAATTTCGCGCTTGATTTCAATTTTGTTTCCGTTATGCGTATGAAACATGCGACCTTCTTCGCAGTTCAACTGTTTCGTATGCGTAACATTCAGACGAATCCAAAATAATATTACCGCTCATTACCACATAATATAGATTCACCTTGCAAATCTGTACAATACGCGGGTAAAAGATTCCCGCGACCTTCGGAATGGTGCACCTTGTACCCGATCATTTATGAAAATTCCGAAATAATCCCATTGGAGGACATCGAGTCGCCGTCGGAGACACGTCCTTCTTTCCTCGTAAAAAGAAAGTGGAAGCCGTCAAACAGCCCCCAATTTATAGACCCGATAACAGGCTCCAATTAATATTTTAAGATACCCCGTTAATCCCTGATACGGTCACAAAATTGTCGAGACTCATCTTTATCCAGACAGGGTACAAAAGCCGAGTTAAATGTAGAATTTTCAAGAGAGCCACAGCACGTTTAAAGTCCAAAGAGTACGAGATGAGCGTACATTCGACTGATACACGTAGACATCTCCCATTTAATCGAATTTACGGTTCGGGGCAGGACCCGACCATTTGATCGAGTCAATGTTTTGATATCTCTCCCGCGGTTATACGCAAAAAATAAGATAATAATATGCAGACGATACCACGAGGGTCTTACACAATGGAGAAAAAGTCATCGCAATAAGTCATGGAAACGTTATTAGCAGGTGCCATTGCACATCTCCACGAAGGAAGACTTTCCGCGGTGCGATCATCGCCAATTGTCAAATCGCTTTATTGAGTGTCAATCCAGTTGAGTTGTTGGTTACATAATTGCATCCTAGACAAATAACGAGCCTTTTTAGAACTTCTTGTCCAGAGGTCGTGATCCACTCTAAAATACAACGAGATACATGCGAACTTTCGTTATCAAAGTACGATGCAACAATGCACACGTGGTTAGGATAATTCCAAGATGTCCATTATCCTACTCTGGATCATAGGAGGTATTACGATCCTCACCACGTGCCTCGGCATCGGTAATCTCTACTATTACTAAATATTAATAATAAAATTACTAATACTAAATATCGTATAAATCTTCAATGATGGTAATACGCAGAACGAAGCTCACTGTACCGAATGTCGTGGTGATAATAATTTTAGAATTATTGTCGCAATGACCCTCGGTACAGTGAGCTTCGTTCTGCGCGTTACTATCACCGATGATTCATACGATGTTTCGAATCATGGAGATCACCAATCCTGGGACACGTGGTAATAATCGTAATACCTCCTATGACCCAGGGTAGGATAAAAGACATCTTGGAATTACTCTAAGCACGTGGGCATCGTTGCACCGTACTCTGGACTGTGATAACGAGAGTTTGCATGTACGTCGTTGTATTTTAGAGTGGATCGCGACCTCTGGACAAGAGATTCTAAAAAGACTCGTAATTTGTCCAGGATGCGATTACGTAACCAGTTGTTCAATTGTATTGGCATATAATAAACCGATTTGGCAATTGGTGATGATCTCACCGTGGAAAGTGTTCCTTCGTGGAGATGCGCAACGACACTTGCTAATAACATTTCCATGACTTATTGCGAGGACTTTTTCTCTTCATACGATATTTTGAACCGTGGAGATTATGGCAATGGAGGCTTACGTTTTGTTGGAACAGTATTTTTGCAAAGATGACGAGGGTGTGCTGTGAATTGCTTTTAAACGTGACGTTAATGTGTCCTCGGACATTTTTTTCCCTCTTTCTCGGTGTAAGTTCGTTTTGCTTCTCGACCTTCTTTTTAAAAATCGTTTTTTTTTTCATTTTTCTGTCGTAGCATATTTTAACCAACCAGCTTTCAAGTCTGGAGGATAATGATAGAACTTTTGCTCTCAAGAACAATACTAGGGAGCTTTATCAGATATCGCTCAGCGCTGCCTGTCGAACGCATATGAACCAGGTATTATACAGTTCCATTGTTTTACCTATTCACCGATAGTGCGTGAAAAACGTGCCGATAGAATTAATCCAAGGTCGAAGTCCCGTTGGTTCTCCATCGAGTTTGAATTTGTAGAGGATGAACTTTGGCAATGTTTTTTTAACTCCACGTGCTACCTATTCAAGGGATTCTCATAATTTGCATACGAATGACTCATAGACGCTCTTTGATCCTTGGCAATGCACAATCGAGTGACGATGTTCATATGCAATGACCAACGTAACCATAGTGTGTCGCATATGAAACAGAGATAATTTTCACCAGTGTATGTTTTCACGTGACAAATTCATTGTTGATTTTTTTTTTAGAGAAAAGAGTAAGTCTCGGAAGATTAGCAGAAATTGAATAGAGCAGATTGATTTAATTTATAGAATCTTTGACATAGCGTACACAGGGTCATAATCGTCACGGATTACTCGAGTGACCCAAGTCATAAACCCTGTAATTCGGTACATTTGCTATGTAATAAAATTTCCTAAGAATTGATCCTCTATTCCGAGAACCGAATGTATTCAATTTTAATGTTTCAATCACTTCTCCTTCCCTCCTCTACTTATTGGTTTAGGAACTTCATTCCAATTTTCATAACTGCCGTCACCTCTTTGCAAGGCGATACTTTTTATCAAGTCCTTCGGTGGCTGCTTCAAATCATAGGCCATAGGGACCCGAATACCGGGCTTTGTCAAGTAATCAAAAGCACCATTATTAAAATCTATTTTCGTTGAAAAGTTAAAAGATCAGTTTCGCTTTTTCCGGAAGTCACAGAAATATAACGAAAAATTGAAGATATGGTAAAATTGAAGGAATTTTATAAAAGCCATCGAATTCGCAGTTTTGGAAATCAGCTGGCACGCATCCTGAATATGTCACAGCTATACGTCGTAAAATAGTTAGAACCCCTTTGAACGTGTCGCAAATCTTTGTACGCAGGTATTGCCAAAGACCTCTCTACGTCTAGAAAAACATCCTCAATGATAACATGGTGATAACGCCTGTTCAATTAGTCTATGGAGGATTATTTTTGTGAAGTATTCGAAGAGGTGTGGTACATATCGAGGTGGAGAAAAGAGTATCTCCTTGTAAGACTGTCATGGTGTAACGAAACATGTACCATGTGCACATGCATGGGTCAGTAACCTCCAATGATTTCGCATGATCTAGCAATTTGTACACTTAGTACACGAAGTGGCGAAAGCTTTATCGCAGTAAAATGCGAATCAGTGAAAAGAGAAGATAATACGTGTATCAGTGACCGGCAGTCTGGAACACGTTGTAAAAGCAAGTACCTACATGCGTAACTGGATAATGGGTCGTTCGACGTGCAACAATGATTTTGACGCATGGCATGAATTTTTCTTTTTGTGTCATACGGCTTATAAAGTACAACTTCTCATTCTCAGTACAGCCAGAGATCTTAATATTACTAACCGTAACCGGTGAAACTAGATAGTGTTACGTGTCACACATAATGGTTCTGAATTCTATATCACATTAGAATTGCGGGTGATATAAATTAATGAGTTATTATCGCCAACAAATTATGTGCCATTATTCATGCATGGAGGGCGAACGCTTATTTTTCAATTTCCAATTTTCATGTGAGTATTGAAGAATCGGGCAATCGTATCAGGGGTATCAGTCAAGGTCGCATTAAAAATAAGACGCACAATAAATGGCATTCAGGAAAAGGAACACTTTCGATACAGATAAGAGATATGTCACAGGGTACCGATGATACAGGTCAGAGTCAGCTCCCTGCCACGAATTGATAACGTGATCGTCCTTTTTCATTCTTTGCTTTTCTTCATAATCTCCCCACTTTTTTATCTGCCAGTGGACACGCGCGACCTTTGACTTCAATACATACAGACTAATAATATATACCGTTTGTCATTTCAGAATGAAACTCAGCAAATTGCTTAAGAAATTTCGTTTCTTTGTTACATAACTTAAAATGTTAACTATAGATAGTGCGTATTAAGATTCGATCATATGCTATTAATAAGTTCAGTGACAATGATTAGTAGACGTAGATCGGAAATTCATTAGGAATTTGTCGTAAACGTCAAACATTTTCACAAATAACTGCAAAATCAGCAGAGGCCTGTCATAACATTGCATATCAGGTAACAAGCATCTGGATATTAAACTGCAAGACCAGCGAATTCAGGAGATAACGTGAATGATAACCTATTAGACCTTCGGTACTAATCGTTCAAACGTATGAATGGACTCAGACGGCACTCTGAAAACTTTGTACGATTTCACCAGGTAGGATGCAACCCGATATGCACGACGTCATAAATTGTAGCCGCTGATAAGGGGCGAGATAGAACTGATACGTAATAAGAAATATAAAAATTAAATTTTGCGTAACTAGGAAACTATCATTATCCCACTATTGACGCTGGATGATGAGTAGGCAAATTTCTAGATTAAGGACTAAAACCTTCGCTCTTATCAACAATGACATTGGATTCGACTAGGTTACTCACCGAGGTTTCCTGTCGGAGACCTAAAGGCAGGATAATATACAGTTCCAATGTTTAACCTACTCATATATAAAGCATGGCAATATCGCACAAATAAACTTGTGCAGGGACATTTAAATTTCAGATACCCTTTGCACGCTTTAAGTACTCCATGACTTAATTCAGTGTCTTAGTGATCACAATTTTCATGCAATATCAATTCTATGCTTTATTTCAAGACTCGGTATGGTGCAAGGAAGAGGGCAAACGCTACAAAAAATAACATTCTGTTAATTACCAGCGATACAAACCTACATTTTCATAATCGCAATACCACAAGGAAACGTAAATATACAATTTGGCTTGAGCGCTCGGGGTTATAATTATCACGGATTACTCGAGTGACCCAGGTCATAAGCCCTGTAATCTAGTGCCTTTGCTATATAATAAAATGACCTAAGAATCGTGAGATGGGATCCTCTATTCCAGAATCCGAAAGCAGAAAATTTTAATTTTTCTTCTCCATCTCTTCTACACTTATTGGCTCAGGAACTTCATCAACATTTTTATAACTGCCGTCACCTCTTCGCAAAGCGATCTTTTTAATCAAGTCCTTCGAGGGCTGCTTCAGATCATAGGCCCATCCAATTTTTGCAAACATGTCGATGAGGCCAGCAGTCAAATTGAGAGAATAATTTCCGAACTCGGCCGCCTTGTAATCCCAGGGAAAAACGTGATGATAATTGTGCCATCCTTCGCCCATCGCAAAGTGAGCAACGAAGATGTTTTGCGCAGGAGCAATGGACCTAAAATGCAATTCTTAAATTTTGCAAATTTAATGTAAACATACTGCTACCGATATGCGAATATTCTTTCCTAATTTATATTATATAAGTCGAATATTAGTTTTATTAGGTACTTGTCGTATGGTTTGTAGCCCCAAAGATGTGCCGCGCTGTTTATAGAGCCTATCATGTTTATACAAAGGACGTAACGTATGGCATTTATCGACAAGGCGTTGTACCAGGTTTCGTTCCACAAGTAAACCGGCACTATTATTGGCACGATGTAAGCAAAGAGGATCTTCACGAATTCGAAGTGCCTGCGAAAAGAAATAAGAATGGAATGTAGGATTTGAAAGAATAGAGAATAAGATTTGATCAGTTGTATGTAAAATACAGACCGACGATTTATATGCAAATACAAAATTCGGCTTATTTGCAGCGTCAGAACATTAGTGTACATACTTATCGGCAATTCGTACGACAGGATCGCTGAAGACGTCGCTCATGTCAATCAGGCGTTCCTGTCGACGGACTTCAGGATGTCTTTCGAGCACGAGCCAACCAACGTGCGAAAAGAAGAATCCGCGCTTGCTGTTATGCGGATCCGCATCCGTTTCCGAACATTTGTGATGAACGCGGTGAAGCCTTACCCAATGGCTGATCCGAAACTAAAACCGACGTACAATTTGAATACACAGTCATCGATATTTGTGTCTGTACCCTTTATTAATGTACAATCATAGCTGGTCAAATGAAAATAATCACTGCAGTTAATTCTCGTAGCTTCCACTTCATTACTCCTTAAATGGTTATTTCTTGTTACTACTTCTCGATGACCGGGTTATTAACAGAAAATTGTTGTTAACTTGTTATTAACATAAAATGTGCAGTTTCTTATCTTACTCTAGGTCGTCACGAGTCAGGACGAATTGTGACTTACGTGACCAGCCGTGGCGTAGCAAATAAGCAGGATAATTCGGAGGGGCAATTTCGCCTTGAAAGACCTGTGCGACCAATATCGATGCACTCCACCGGTTACACCAAAGATACTTGCATACAACAGAAAGGTGCCTTAACAATGAATGTTTTAGGATTACACTTTTTGGAATAATGACACTTTTCACAAAAGTAAAATGACAACGGCTTACTCCACAACCATGTCCTCTTGCATCCCAGGTAAGGAAGCGTTAATGCGGCGTAAAAAGACCACGCGTGAAATGCAATGAGGAAGAGGGCCCTATCCCATCTGACTTTTGTCACGAAATACCCTCCTCGCCATTCTTCATTTGATTCCGCCTTATTTTGTTCTTTCAAATGTTCAGAAGATTTCATGCAGGTCTCCTCCAAGGCGTCCGAAGGCTCCTTCGGGTTCGGTGCCATTTCTATTCTGAGATTCCTATTAAAAACGTTAGGTGAAATAAGTAACCGCAAAACGCACTTACTTTTAATCGAAACAATGTTGTTGTCGTAAATGGATGCTCACCTCTAAATTTTCTGAATACCCGCAAAAGGGAAGTCTCCGTTTTTCTAAGTCCCGCAAACGAGCTTCTTTTTGGTCCTTTTACACTGAATAAGAATGTAAGAAAAGTTACCCACTTTGAAAAAGAGTCTGTAAACCTTAGAGTGCGATTAGTTCTGGAGGCGTCATCAATATTAGGAAAAGAAGGTTCAACCTAGCACTTGCACGGCTGTGAAGAAACTAACAGGTTGATAAGACTGCATACATTTTAAAGAAATTTGCAATAGTTTTATACACTTCACAACGCAGATAAAAAGTGGCCTTCCGTATTACGTATACGTAACGAGCACAACTTTAGCTAAATGTTTGCAAGAACAATCGACTGTATCCGTTTTGCAAGTATGATCTTGAGGTCACCTTTTCGGCCTTTAGCTAAATGTTTGCAAGAACTAATAGACTTCATCCGCTTTCCAAGTATAATCTAGAAATCACTTTTACGGACGTTGCACAACTTCATCCCCGATGAGTGGTCGATAAGATCTAAACATGAAAACTACACGAGTTTAGAGTCTCTACGTATCCTAATTTCATTTGTCAAGGCAATTCATTATAACACGGAGTCTCGCGGATACATTTTAAAAATCTTCGAATTTTGTAGACTATTATTCATACATTACTCATCAGAGTTTTCTACAAGCGTATGTCGCAAATGAGTGCTCATCTCTAATTTTCCTGAATACTCCCAGAAGGCCGCAGGAGTGAAATTGCATGAATTTAATAAAAGCCGTCAAATTCGCAGTTTTGGAAATCAGTTGGCAGTAATACTCATAAGTAGAGCAATATTCCCCATTGTGTTGGTTAGAATGCATTTTCCCTGCTGTGTCAGCTTATCAATTTGTAAACATTTGATTTCAGCTTTACATCCGTTAGGGTTATGAATCCCACGACCTTTTTTCAAGTTCAAGTTTGCTAAATATGAGATGTCTGTGTACAGAAAGAAAAAGAGCAGGTAAACTGAACAATTCGACGCTGTGAAGGCCATTTTTGATAAAGGAACGTGACTTAGAATTGACTTTTCTACGAATTTTTTAGTAACGGTAACAATATTTATTGTAAGGTTTCTTTTTTACCATTTTCGAATAGTTAAGTTACCATTTAAATATAGTCACTTTCATTGCAAGACGTTGGTTAGTCTACTATTAGTAACTGCAACAATATTACCAGTACAACCGTCTACCATTGCGGTTTGGATAAATCAACTTCCAATTTGTACCGAACATTACCAAAAACTTTGTTCAAGTTTGTTTCGACAGCACAGATAGATGGCGAAGCTTTCTCAGACTGAACATTTATTACGAATTTGTCGTGAACGTTAAACATTTTCACAAATAACTGCAAAATCTGCTGAGGTTTGTCATAACATTGCACATCAGGTAACAAGCATCTGGATATTGAACTGCAAGACCAGCGAATTCAGGTGACAACGTGAATGATAACATATTTAAGCTTCGGTATCAATCATTCAAATGTTGATTGCATTCTGGAAACTTTGTACGAATCGACCTGATTGGTTGCAACCCGACATGAACGATGCCTTAAACTGCAGTTGATAAGGAGCGAAATATTACTGATATGTAATTAGGATTATAAAAATTAAATTTTTCGTAACTAGGAATACATCATTACCCCACTTGGGTTTGGATGACGAGTAGGTAAACTTCTGGATCAAGGATTAAAACCTTCGCTCTTATCAACAATGGCATTGTATTCGGCTAGGTTACTCACCGAGGTTTCCTGACGAAAACCTAAAGGCGGGATATTATACAGTTCCAATGTCTAACCCACTCATCTATAATGCATGGCAATATCGCACAAATAAACTAGTGCAAGAACATTTAAATTTCTAATGGCCTTTGCACGATATAAGTACTCCATGACTTAATTCAGTGTCTTAATGATAACAATTTTCATGCAACATCAATTCTATGCTTAATATCAAGACTCGGTATAGTGCAAGGAAGAGGGTAAGCGATAAAAAAAAATTAACAGTCTGTTAATTTTCAGGTAAAACCCATTACATATCTATATTTTCACAATCACAATATCACAATAAACGCAAATATACAATGTCGCATGCAAGACTTGCACGCACATAAAAAAGTACAGGTAAAAGGTGTCCTTCCGCATTATGTACGCCTAACGTGCATGGCTTTATTTAAATAATGACTCTATTTAAACAATAAATGACTCTATTTAAATAATTGCCGGGACTGAACGATTTCACGCACTTTACAAAGATACTTTAGAAGGCACCTTTTCGAACGTTGCACAACTCATCCCTGATGAGTGGTCAATAAGAACTAAATATGTAAACTAGAGTTGGGAGTCAGGGCAATTTAACGCGAAGACTCGCGGGTACTTTTCGAAAATCTTCAAAACTTTTTGGACTAGTCCTTCATCGTCTCATTCGCTTTTTGGTTCGGGAACTTCGGCCCAATGTTCGCGACTTCCATCTCCTCTCTGCAAAGCCACCCTTTCGATCAGGTCCTTCGATGGCTGCTTCAAGTCGTACGCCCACCCAATTTTCGCGAACATGTCGATGATCGCAGTGGTGCTATTCAGGGAATAATTCCCTAGCTCGGCTGCCTTGTAATCCCATGGAAAAACGTGGTGGTAGTTGTGCCAACCTTCCCCCATCGCCAGATACGCAACGGCCATGTTCTCCACCGGGGCTATGCTCCTAGGGAGCAATTTTAAACATTTTTTTAATATATCAATTTTTTTTACACGGAATATTTCGATCGTTCACGAGACGCGACACTTACTTGTCGTATGGTTTTGAGCCCCAAAGATGAGCCGCACTGTTTACACTCCATGTAATGTTTAATCCAGCTACGTATCGGACGAAGAGCTGGCTCATGCTGGATATGTACCAGGTTTCATTCCAGAAATACACTGGCACGAGTATGGGCAGGAGGAAAGCGAAAATCAGTTTCAGCAGCAGAAAGTACCTGTGGATAATAATGAATTATTAATTTTTCCTCTATATTTTCACACCGCAGGAGTAAATGGGTACTAGGCTGTGAAATTCTGAGTGACATGTCAAGCGGTTTCGAAATTCGGGGAATAACAGTGCCGAGGTAAAAGTGCATTGAGCAATGAAGAGACTTTCTTCGAGCAGAATGTACGAAGGAGCGTCATCGAGTTGTGATACGTTTGACAGCTCGTATCATATCATGCAGCCGTCACGAACTCGATTTGTGACTATCATGGCGAAATTAAAGCCGATTAACCGGATCGATAAACTTCTTCGTTCGTGGCACGACCTCTTCTTTCGAAGTCATACACGCTTTCTTGTATCGTGGAAAAAATGCAAAGTTTATAAGAATTTCCACTGAGTATCCACTATTGATAAATCCAAGTGTATGCAGATTATTATATGCAAATGTATACAGTAATCGTTAGCACTTAATGTGCAATTAATATGTATTGCTCATTTATTATTTCAACCGAGATTACGTATCATTGTGCGTACAACTGTAGTTGGCTCGTTGGTTATCAGTCGTATGTTATCGAGGATTAATTGCCGTGCAATCGCGTTTGAATTTTAGGGCTCATGAGTGCCCCGAAGAGATCGGACGAAGAGTATTAATTATAAGATAATTGTAAAATAATTGTAAGTAATTTTATAACGTCCCGAAGGATTACTCACTTTTCGCCAAATTGGACGACAGGATCTTCCAGGACGTCACTCATGTCTATTTGTCGGCCCTTCCGAAGAACTTCGGGATGCTTCTTCGTCATGAGCCATCCGACATGAGAGAAAAAGAAACCGCGATTACTGTTGTGCGGATCAGCATCCGTTTCCGAAAATTTGTGATGAACTCGGTGATCTCGTACCCAATTGTAGACCGAATTCTGAAAGAATCAAATTTAATTTCAATGTTCAACCAATTAAAGAATGCCACGCCACTACCTGCTACTCTATTGGTTCTTTCAACCAATTTCGATAATTTTATAATTTCATCACTTTTACTTTGCCAATTGATGAAATTCTGTACGTCTTGAACAGTGCGTTTCCTTTTCACAGTTTACATCGCGTATAACTCAGGAATGAACATGGAGCTTTCCATCATAATTTCTAATGATCTATGAAGGGTTACGGTGCCAGCTGCTATCGCTCGATCTTTACGATCGTTATAAGATCGTCATCGCAATTCTCATTTGCTCGAATTGTCTCACTGGCAAGGGACATTAAAATTTCATGCGCCAGTAATTACTCCAGTACTCGTGGAACGCCGCACTTTTTAACGCAGTCTATGCTTTATTTAAATACATTTACCTGTCCAGCCGTACAAAAGCAGATCAGAAGGATGATTCGCAAAGGGATATTGGCCTTAAATGATCGATGCGTCCAATATCGATGAACACCGCCAGTGATTCCAAATCCAGCCATCATTCCCACGAACACTCCTAAACATCAAAGCAATTATTACGAGCCCCCAAAAAAAATTTTCCCTGAAACCTAAAAAGGAAATTAAATTGATCGGATCTATTGATTTAAAAAAAAAAGAAATTAGCGATAATCGACCATCCAGCTGAGTTCTAATCGAAGAATTCTAGAAAGAAAAGACCAGAAAAGGGACACAAAAGGCATTGATTGATTTCCACTGTACGAAAATGACGAAGACATATTCCGGCAGGCCCTCCACCTTCGTTAACGTCAATCGAATGGCGTCACGTATAAATATTTAATATCTTCATCGGTCGCGCCCTTCCACGTGCGAAGAGACATTTCAGTCATTTCTCCGAGGTTACTTTGTTGCGATCGCCGTGCATATTTCGAATTTGTTATTCCACGGTTGCGTTCTATGTTTATTTAGACTCGGCCGGTGATCTTTCGGAAACAGATAATATTTTTTCGAAAAGATACCGTGCAGTGTATACTCGTGTGGGATGGCTGACGCATGTGTAAACGTGTGCAACTGCACTCCGTTTTTCGCGTGTTTAATGTTTTTCGTTATGTAAGAATTGCGAAATGTACCGTGCATGCACCGTGACTATTACCTTACGCGTGCATAAGCGAAACAGACGCATTTTTTTTAATCGCCGAGCGGTGCGTTTGTGTGGGCATTTTCTTATTTCGCGTTTAAGCCATCAAATGAAGACGATAACGACATCTTACCCCAAAGTATGGTCCGCTTGCAATCTAAGTAAGGAAACGTGAGCAGGGTGTAAATCGACATGATGTGGAAAATGGCGATGCTGATGACGTTTTTCCATATTATCGGCGTCTTGAATAACTCTCCTTCCCACTCTTCCCGCAGTTTCGTCTCCGGCTGTGGTTTCTCATTTTCGGCACTCTTGACACAGAAATTCTTCGACTCGGTCGAAGTCGCCTCCACCGTCAAGGTGGTGCTGGATAGGTTGGGTGTCATTTCGCCGTAAATTGCCCTGTTGAACAATGAAATGAAAATAACTAAAAATATTCGATGCTTAACATTACGACTCGTGGTTTGCAAGGCGCGTCTTCGCGCCAAGGCGCTTCTTTCTTTTTTTCTATTCACTGTTTAGTTTCTACTTTTCACTGCATATTTATTATTTCATTATTATATTTTTATCGTCTGGGAGTGCATGAAATTGTTGCAAAAATTTTGTTACCCTGTACGTGTTAAACTGTCGATCCCACGAGTAACGCCGTATACAATTGCACTTGATTCGTCCACACAATCAAAACTTGACTCGAAATGTCGATTTCGACGCACCTGTAACTCGTCATACGACGACGATCGCTGTCTTACACTTCGCGAAATGGTCGTCTCTTCCTTATATCGCTGATTGTTTTACAATAAATCTTGAAAATTTGTACACTTTGTCATTTCCGGTATCGCAATCGGTATCGCCGCGCGACCACTCTTCGCGTTTCTCACATACTCGACTCGTCCTTTCTTTCTTTCTCTTTCGCTATTAAATATTGACTTTATAGGAGCGAGAATAGATCCTCAAATTTATCTGTACACTTATCCGTGTGAGCATCAGAGGAGGATTTAAAGGACTCGTGATGGCTCAGACGAGACCCGACCGTGTCTCATCGTTGCATCAATTTCGGGTGTGCTGAGTCGTGTGGCCAACTTTTAAAACAGCTGTATCAGCACATTGTTGCCCTGGAACGTTACTTACTTGCGTGAGTGTTCATTGTGATCGCTCAGAATTGATTCTGCACACTCGTGACATCTCAGGAGAAAATAAGGGTCTCAGATATGATTCGGCAACGTCCAGAGATTTGGATATTTCGAGTCTCGATCGCGATCATGAGTCACTTAGAAATTCCAAACAACGGGATTCAATTATCAGACCCACTCAATATCTCTCTCATTTGCGATGTTTATTTATCAACCCCTCGAAATCGAGTTAATCTCGCCTTCATTTGCACCGAAAAAATGACTTGTCAGTCAAATTGCGAACCGTTGATGTTCTTAAAAACTGTCTCGGGTCTTGAAAATGCAATCGTCGGTATATTTAGAGACACTCGTAGGTAAGTTCATAGGCGGAAAGGATCGTTAATTAGACAAAGAGAGCCTCGGCTCTCTTTGTTTCAATTTAATTCCCACAAACGAGCTTCGGAATTCACCCTAATCCACGCTCGAGTACTCTGTATCTTGACATCGTCGGAAAAACGTCATTAACGTGTCACCTACGAAACGTTATTCCCTAGATGACTATCATGGTTTAATTTCAGTGGATGGACTTGTGCAAAATGGATCCCTGGAGTCAGTCTCATGTGTTCACACTTGACGTGCACTCGAAGCACATCGAGGGTGGAAAAAAGCTCCCAAATCGTCAGGATCGGTGAGTGATCAAAGGATCTCCTTCTCTACCGTGAATTCGTCATCGGTTGATAAACTCACAGTCTAATTAATATTGTTCAAGGTGCATTCGCTATTCAGGTATGAATTTTACTCATTTACACATTTCGTATAATCATTTGGCTAAATTATTAGCCGTTGGATAATTCAAACGTCGATTTTAATTGTAAGTAGATCATACCTTTGTTGCGGTGAGTTATACTCAGTTTGACTCGATATTCGGATCTTCGGAGCAGTCCGTGGCATTTATCTAGCTACACGTATCAGTCAGGTGGATTCTTCGTAAATTAATAAGTTAGACCTCATCAAAGTTAGCACTAACCCTTTCCTAGCTGTCGAGTGTTTCGACAAAACGAGAATCGATCGGCGAATCTTGGAAGCCACTCCGGAGACTTGCAATATCTAGCTTTGGCTTATCGACTTTGCCATTCGCGCGAAGAGCGATACCGAGCTCGCCAGGATTCGAGGATTCGTCCCTAAGGATCTCGCATTTCTTCGAAATCCCGCAGGACCGTCGAGGAATGATAGCAGGATGTTGGGTCCTTGCAATCTTCTCGATCGGAGTGACCGGAAGCTGCATTTCGCCCTCGCCCCTCGTCTTGCAAATGATCTTGGACTATGCTCAGTGGAGAACTTGGGAGGAAGTGGTTCTCTTCGATGATCTCAATTCAACCAGTAAGCATCTCTTTTACCATTTACTATGTTTATAGTCGCGAAGTGTTCGACTAGTGTTTATTCACGGAGCAAAATAAAAGTGCAGGTTTTAGCGCATCTAATTGCGCGGTGCCGAAGGGGATATTGCTCTTACGACGTAAAGATGAGAATTGTGCAACGTGCGTCTGATTTAATGAGTAATGTTCATTTTTTATTTTAATTAGTACTTTACGAGGTGCAGATGGCAAAGGTCGCGGATCTCTCGCGTAGTTTGGTTATTAATTTTTTATTTAAAAAAAGACTGACAGTGCAGAGGAAGTTAGTTGTACAGGCTGAACTCGAAGGAATCGACATTATAAAAGTAATTTCACTGTTTTCGCCGATATGAAATGATTTCTTACCGTCTCTGAAGGTACGAATCGCTTCGGCCCTCGCTGCCAAAGTACTCAGGTAATTCGTCCAGGTACTCCACCAGGTGGCCAGGTGGAGGGAACTGAATCGGTCGCCTGTCGCTTGGATTCTTATAAAAGCTGCACAACGGAAGACCTCGTATCCCCACTATGAAGAAATTTTGTTTTTGGTTGGGCAGCCCCTCGATACTGTCCAGGAAGATCCAAGAGTGATTATTTTGGACATAACGAATGCCTTTCCAAATATATCTTTGCCATTCCCAACCTCTTTCCTGGGGTTAACAATGGTCAGGACTTTCCCCAAGCTTTTCTCTCATAAATTAAATTCCCTATTTCAGAACCAAATTTTAACCTTTTCAGGTCTTAAATTTCTAAGACCCCTACGCGGCTTCATCGACAAATCAAATAATCAATTAAACAGGGAAACTTCGAGTACTTTGCAGTGAACCACAGTCAGTTAATTATAAATGCAGTTTTCAGTCGATTGCAAAATATACCTTCACGTGAAGTGAAATTCATTCTGGGACGCTTCTTCGTAATCGTTGCGAATGTTTGTCAAAGTGTGTCGGAAGTCATAACTGCATACATATATTTTTCTTAATTCCCCTGTATATGCGGCTTATGTTGCAGGTTAATGTCTCGATTTCATTATGTGCCTAAATTTACCTAAAAGTATATAGAAACCATACTTATTCGTCAATTGTTTACGTAGAAGAATATAACTGTTACAGTGAAATATAGAAGACCGATTTAGAATCGTCAAGCTTAGAAAAGTTCGGGTGTTTCAAAAGACAGGAAACAGAGACCTCGATAACACGAAGACAAAGTTCGAAGAATCGACGCCTAAAATCAATTTCATCCATGTGCCCAAATCGTGCATGTGTTAATGATCTCGATGACTGCCTAAGGCAAATACGGCGTTGTATAAGGTCAGAAATAAAATCGGAAGAAATTAACGATTTTCTTCGTATCAGGGGTCAGAATTGCTTCACAGGTGATACACCTGTTCCTTGTTTCGAGCGATTCCTCCGATCCAATTGGCACAATCGCCTGTGCATGTATTAACGACACCTTCAAGCTATAGTCTAGTCGAAAAACAAGGTAATTACCAGTATATCCTATGTTTATTAATACTGGTGGCGGACGTGACTCTTAGCGCAGCCACACTCAAAGTTCTCACGAACCTCCCCACCCTTTTCTGGGAACTAATTGCATGAACTACGGTAAGTACCGGGGATATTCGGGGTTATTCGAGACAATGCCAAAATGGCTTTCAACAGCCGCGGTCTTTCTCCATTTCGTCACCGAGAAATGAACATTCGGTGGTAATTACAGGTCCTTAAACGGGGTTTCTTTTCTCTCGGGGTCGAACCCTGAAACGGAGCTCGACCTTTCTCCGCTCCTCTAATGAGGACTACTTACACTTTAAATCTAATAATTCGAAGAACATTTCCCACCGTTATTTTTCATATTATATTCCCTTGCAATGTATCCGTGGTATTGACTAGGGTTATTTTTTAATGCAATGCAGATTGTGCCATCAAGTACGCCAGGCCTTTGATCCAGTGCTTCGGCGAGAGAGGGATGAAGGTATCTATTCAGTCTTCTATCAATCCGGGGTTACCGGAAGCCCTCAAAATCCAAAGACATCGAGTAGGGGCCGTCGTCCTGTTGGATGGATTGAATTTGACATCGATCGAAAACGTCCTCCACGTGGTAAATCGTCTTACGACTTTCCTTCTCCTATGTAACAATTAATTAATTTCCACATTCTAAACATCCGACTACGTCTTACGCATTAGGCCTCGCAAAAGCAGTTGTTCAACTACTACGTCTCTTGGTTCATGATCACGGCGAGAAAGGTCGATACGATAATCGATTCCGTTCTGCGTCATCTTCCCATAGGACTGGACAGCGACGTGGTCGTAGGCACGTCCTATTTAAACCACTCGGACGCCAAAGAAATGACAGGACGCTATCTAAACAGGTGGAGTCATTTATTTCCCCCCGTTTGAGATCCACAATTCGTAAACCGACTTCACTTTGATTTACCGAAAACCCGGAGTCTCGATTCCGCATCGCCAGTAAGAAATATTTAACCGCACGCTTCGTATATCGCAAATCTTCCGCGGAGGACGTGATTTTCGCGAAAATATTTGCGAAAAGGTGGGAAGAGGCAAACGGAATGGTTGTTCTTTTTTCTCAGGACTTGCGCGGCTCTTCGGCGTTATGGAAGCACCTTCGAATTCCAACCGATGCCTCGACGCAAAGAGGACGAGAATTCCACGATGAATTTGCAGTACGTCATCCTGGAGAACAGGACGATGAGCTTCTATTTAACTCACGTCTACAAAATTCGCATTCCGGACAATTCTAGCCTGGTCGTGGACGACTTGGGCTCCTGGAACCCAGGCTCCTATTCGTTACGATTTCCAGTTAGCGTTAAACTCCGGAATAATTTCGGCGGATTGCCCATCGTGGTCGGTGTTTTAAATGGCAGCAACGATGGGCAAGCCGAAGTCACCGAGGAGGACGACACTCAAGGCGTCGTCCCTCTTATGGACATCATGACGTTCGTGGCGAACAGCATGAACGCGAGGTCAGCGAAAGCTTTTCCAGATATTGCGCGATCGATCGACTTTTTGAAGCCGTCTATTACGTCCGTTGCATCCAATCACGCGAAACCGTGACGCATCTCAGATTGCACCAACCCGCGATAGTTTATCACCAGATGAGATCGTTGGAATAAGGTCGCGAAATGGAGCCCGCAATTTATACGACGATCTTCCGGATACTATTCCGAAATTGCAATTTCTGCATTTTCAGTTTGTGGGATCTTGAAATGGGATGAGATGTTATTTTCAGCATGGAGATGGTTCCCCATGAGAAATTGGGCACTGTGACCAACAAGGCGTGGAGCAACCTCCTCGGGGATGTCGTTTCCGGAACCGTTGACATCGGTTTAGGGTACATCACGACTACTGACGAGCGACAACGAGAAATGAGTTTCACGCATCCCCTTATTCGCTATATGTAACTACCTGGAATATTGGATTTACTTCTTTCAGTCGCTTTTCTTTGAATTAATGTGCGCGTCTTTAGGAGGAACATCTACTTCCACCCTCCGGAGTCGGGGACCATGAGGGACATTTTCTTGCAGCCTTTTAACGACAAACTGCTTCTGGGGGTTGCGATGACTTACGTGTTCATCGTTTTCGCAATGGGCGCTATAAATTATGCCAGCAAGACGGTTTTCCAAGATGGCGGGGAAAATGCTGGCCTCGGGGAAGCTGCTCTTTGGTGCATCAGCATCATGTGCATGCAAGGCAAGAGTGTATCAACGAACTGGAATGAATTAATAATTGAATTAAATTAATTTGTGTTCGGACATCTGATTTCCTTCTGTTACAGGATCTCCGTGGACTCCAAGAAATCCTTCCGGGAAAACCGTACTTCTAGCGAGCTTGATTTTTGCTCTAGTTACGTACAACGCGTATGCTGGCTTCATCACTTCGATTTTGTCCGTCCAAGCCAGCGGGATAAAAACGCTCTCGGACCTTTTGCAAAATAATTTCAAGTTTGGTTATAGCGTTAGCGACGACGAGTACATTCGCGTGAGTTTCACGAGTTTTGTGTACTTTTCGTCTTAATTTTTATTCCATCCAGATGTGAAGAGTGTAAATTTAAATCTCGACATGTTACATAGAACGCGAATGACAGTAATCTTCGGCAGCTGTATATAAAGGCTTTTAATAGTCGGGAATCGCAGCTGGATACGACCTTGGGCCTCAAAAGAGCTGTCAAAGGTGGTTACAGCTTTTTCGTCAGCGCAACGCTTGCTCGAAGAGCTCTTCGGACATCTTTGATCCAAGATCGGTGTTCATTGAGCGAACTGGTCATTCCACAGACTTTCACAGTCGTGGCCTTGCCCATGGCTAATACATGTCCTTACAAGAAGATAATCAATCTAAGGTGCGAGGGTATCACATTATTTCGAATTAATCAAGAAGTGCTCCTCCGACATTCCGTTCTGACTCGACTCGATTTACTAACTCTAAATGCCGTAGAAATATTCTTCTATACGTTTAATTAATTTTTTCAGTATCATGAGAATTAGAGAACGCGGAGTCCTGGACAGGATATTGCATAGAATGATGCCAAGTATGCCAAAATGTTACACACCAACGACATTTCACAGTGCAAGACTGGCGGACGTGTACTCGGCAATTGTTATCCTCGCTATTGGGGTGGTCATGTCCTTTTTCATTGGCATTATCGAGAGACTCTGGTATAAACGGCGCAGACTGCGAGAAAGAATTCTTCGAGGTGTTAGGTTGTACCAAAAGAGAGCTCGACTTCATCCTCAGAAACACCCTGAAGGGACTCTGAATGGCTGGAGAGACCGTGAGCCAAATTTTGGAAAGCACCTGGGAATGAATTTTCCAAGCGGTCTGAAAACTGAAAATCTTGGACATTTTCACGAGCAATTTCTCCCGACAGGTTTGTACGTTGATAAGGACAACCCTGATGAAGATCCTTATCAGGAAGGTACGAACAGGGAAAATCAAAATACACTCCATCGGAGACGAAAATTACCAGTATGGAAGAGATCAAATGCGTCCCAGAAAGAGAACAGGAATTCCTCTGGAAATTCTGTGAATAGATCCAAAGAGACCTTCGTGACTTCATTTTCTCGGCACAAAACGAAGAAGGAAGACATTCATAATCCGGAGATATCAGTTGACAATTCGAAAACTCACGAGTCCGATGTCATTCCTTTTCAGCACTAATTTCTACATTGTTAAAGGCTTCTAGATCTTCCACCATTTGACTTTTTCGAAAAGGAACCATCCTCCGAAAATCCACATTTTCCTTTTACTCGAAACGCGTTCTCGATATGTTTCTCAATCTGCTATATTAGGCTGACGTTGAAAATGAATAAATATTAATTCCGTTGTCAAAATGTCTATCCTCGGTTTCCTGAAATCCCGGGGAGATACCAATGGTTGAATTAAGGCATTCATTCCTTAGGTCTAAAAAACGCGATAAAGACGTTAGTATTTCTGAATGTTCATAAAAGGATAATAATAATTTTCCCACGTTTTGCGGAAATTCTGAACGAGCGATCGATGCTTTCCATTCAAATATAAAACCGAGGCTATCCACGCATGGGCCTTTTTAATCCGAGGAATTTTTCTTTCCGGACACATTAACCTCGGGAAATGAATTCTCTTGATCGGGTCACCAGGAGTTATCAGCTTGCCATTGTGGCGTGTAGGGAAAAATGGACCAGCCGCTTTTATTGGAAATAAAATCTAGCCTGCGCTGAAGCCGGAGGCGATATCATAAGGCGAAGGTAAAGGTCGGATCCAAAGTCCTTCCACACTTTCCCAAGCAGTTGAAATGCAATTGTCGAGTTTATCTGCATTTAAACTCGACCGTGACCTTCATATTGGCATGATAATCTCGTGCTGGGACATCGGGTTTGTCCATGTTCCGAATGCTCCTGCAGTCTCGAAAGATGCCATCGTCGTTCCTACGAAGAGTAGAAGTGAAATAAAATAAATGAATAACCTCCATCGACGTCGTGCTTTTCAAAATGGCGGATTAACCTGCAGAAAAGGGAAACAAAGTCCTGCTCGCAGGTGCCATCGCACCAACCTCGCCAGAACTTGTACACCTCGAATGGTCCCATTTCGTCCAGGAATTCGTTGCATTTTTCCCTCAGGCTTAACGATCGTTTAAGTGTTTTCTTATAACAGTTAATTCGAAAGTAAGTCAGAGTAAACTGATGAATATCATTACTTCTTTTCCCAGAGCCCATCCGCCGTGGAGGGGACTAGATTTGCCCCTGGCATCCTGTCGCAGATATAATTTTTACCATCGATTTCGCGCAGACTGTAGCTGTAAAAAACATGCAATTAAAGTCCCTCAAATGTCGTTTAAATTGCACTAAAGAATTTATATTTTATAACAGTTTTACTGTTTAAAGGAGTAGTCGCAAACGGATCGTAAAAGAGCCGAAGCTTCTCCTTCATCGAGCCACTCTTCCGGAGACATAAGATCGTGCGTCTCTATCAGGGTCTGGTTCATCTACAAATGAAATGCAAATGAAACGTGCAAATGATATTTAATGCGGCTTATCGGAGTACGAATAAATCCACATCGGTAAATTAAATTTAACTCGCCCCGGCGACTGAAATGCCGGCCGGTAATTGCCCTTGATAATGACCTTATTACGTGTTTATTCCTCGAATGATTCAAAATAACTTTCTTTTACATAATGGGATATTCGATATCAATACATAAATAGTGATAAAATTCGGAGAGCTTGTGCAAATTATTTAGCGGGCTGTTACTTAATTTTTTTAATGAATGCCTAACCTGTTCGGCAATGGCGATGCAGAGGCCGCATCTAACACATGCCGAAGAAAATTGCACGTCAATGGGTCCACATGTAGATTGTGATGGTAAATACGGTATTTTCTGAATTATTCCAAATCCTGGAATGCCACAATTGCTGTGAGGACATTCGCAAGTCTCGTTTGAGTCTGTCAAAGGCCGGCAAGTCGTGTCTTCTTCGGAGGATTTGCAATGCTTTTTGTGAGCTCGATGTCTTCCAAAACCTTCGACTCGAATTATCAAAAATAGGAAAAGAAAAACCCACCACGGCCTGTCTATGCTTAAATGCATGACAATGTAAAGGTATAAAAAAACGGAAAATTAAAAGGTTATTAAGAAAGTTTGAGATACAGTTGTCTTTTTCTTTTTTTGTAAAAAGTTCGGAACTGGTCGGAATGAATTACCATGAATTTAATGGCGAAACTTCCGATTGGAATTTAGATTCTTGTAGTGTAGAATTATTTTCTTTGCTACCGACTGGTGGTAAGTATCCTGCATGTTCATCTAGGTCTCCTTGTTGATGGTAAAACACGTAATTGTCGGTAAGTCAGTTGATGATAAGTCACCTGAAATATGTATTTTGTGTTATCCTTGGAAGTCAATCCAAATTATTATTCCTGGTGAAATCATTCGCAAAATGTAGTTCCTTATGTGGATGTTAGATGACAATACGGTTCTCAGTGAGTAAAATTTACTAACCTTACTACGCCATTCATTTCATTCATTTCGTGTCGTTATAACCTAAAAATTGTGCATTCATGTTAGGTTGCATTAGGTCTCTCGAACGAAGTGTTACATACATAAATAAATATGGTAAGTACGTACAATTGACACTTTGTGACTTTATACGAATTGACATTAAATAACGCTTCTATTTCAGCCGATGACAAAAGGAAAAGAACTGGGTAAATCGAGAAAGGTTTTACATCCAAACAGTAGGAAGACCGCAGCGATAATAAAGAAAAATAAAAAGTAAGTTATTTTAATAAGTGCTGCTGAAAAGCCTGTATATATCTATTGTTTTTTTTTTGTAGAGTATCTAACAGGCAAAAATCGAAATTGGGTAAAGTAATCTCACAGAATATAGTAGCGGAGAAAATGATGTGGCTTCGTGACCACATGACTCCTAACGTTTCTCCGTACACCCCAGAGCTTACAGCGGAATTACTTCAATTGTAAGTAAAATTGTTAATACATAAGACCAGCCACTAACTTTCTTCTTACGAGCAGGTACATAGCACGTCACAACGAAGAACTAGATCAAATAGCTATAAAGCACTCTATTGGAGGTAAAAGGATGCGACAGCATGCAAGCAGAGAAGATATTCTTCGCATGACAAAGGCACGGGAACAAGAGGAATACGACACTTGTGGAATTGGTTATTACTGTTCGCTACTGGTCTTAGTCAATAACATAGGAGATTTAATAATTCGCCGCATGTATATTTTTAGAAATTCCAGACGTACTTAACAGCACGCAGTGCGACCTTCTACGGACCTGGGAAGGAGAGCTGCGTTACCTTCCTAACTTCAAATTCAGAAGATTTGGGAAGAAGCACCTCAAAGAGCACCTTAAAAAACAAAGTAAGCAGAAGGAAAGCTCTACGAATGAAATAAAAAAGGGAACCCAAGATGAACCTGAGCAGGAATTTATGGATGTGAAATAAAAGCAGAATGTAATTTTATTTTTGTACGTCTAGTTTCACGTATTCTTAACATTTCCCTTAATATATGCAGCGTAGACAAGTAAGATAGACAAAGCAAGCGAAGATCCATCGAGCCGGAAGTCGGTAGAAAATTTTCTAAGTAAAAGAGTAGCCTGTAACGCTAATTTCTTGACAGCACCCGGAAGGGGTCCGAGTTAAGTGGGACGATCTTTGGTAATTTGTATTTCATTACTACTATCCGGTGATGCCGGGGGCGAAGCTCTCGTCCTCCTGACCTCCTTCCACTCTCGTCAGTTCGCACCGTGATCGGTGTACCACCACAGAAATCGGCTTCTTTTATTCTCCGACCAATCTGTAAGCGGGACGAGTTCGCAAAAGATTTCGGCACGGTTTTGAGAGAAAACCTGTATTAGAAAGGCGCTAGGAAACGTGCCACTCATCGCCTACAATTGGAAGACTCGAGTGTACAGTATCACGTCTAAACCTTATTCTTTTCAAATCGATCAGAACACCCTGTAAAAATTTCAAAATAATTACCAATTCATTATCGACCTTTTCCTTTATTAACACTAGGCAATTAATTTCTCTGTATACAACTATGTACGATTGATGTATGTTTTTAGGATGTTCGCGATAATTTAGCTAGACAAAATCGTTCAGGAGAGTTCGTCGAAATTAAAGGATGTCCTAGCCGCTAGTCCAAGATGAAACCATTTTCCAGCATGGAGAGTATCTTCCGGTAACGATGCGAAGAATAAACTCCGGTAAAGCAGTAAAGCTATTCCCAGGGTAATGATATCGTCAGCGGCCTGAGTGGTGTGAACAACCAGGGAGCCATGCATGCGATCCTTTCTTCGGCCACAAACGATCGGACCTGCGTAAATGTCGCGAAGGAAAGCCTCTTGGCCTTTTCCCCATGCGGATTTCGTTACATAAGGAGCCGGCTGGATGCCAGAGCCAAAGTGGAAATCAGAATCGAGCTCTCGAGGAAGAAGAGACCAGCCAATGGCGAGAATTCTCTGCGCAACGTCGACGTAGGTAATGCCTAACGAGCAGCGATCGCCGATCCATAAATCCCAATAGACTCTCGTAAAACCCTCTTTTCGTTTCCCGGACTTTACCGGAATGCCGAGACTCCTGACCGCAAAGAATTTCTCTGGATGCTGGATCAACGATGGAGCCGGTCACGTGGCCAATAGTGAAAGTCACCGACTACGCCGCTTACTTCACCAAATCATTCCTGGTGTACCAACGTGCAGACTAACACCATACCGGAGAGTCATACCACTATCTTAGGAATATTAAGTACATTATTAAGCCACATTTTCTCGTTAACTTTTAAATTATTTATTATGATGGCAGGCAAGGAACAGCGAGGGAACCGCGGTCGCACGTGGCGGGTGAATCGCAGAGACGAAGAACCCGTACGACCTATACATTATGTGTCGCAGAAGATTTTAACAGCCTCGTGAGATGAGCAGAGCCTCAGGGGTCGACCCACATTTCGGGCCGAATCTTTCTTTTTTCGGCTTTGCCGGCACCGGACTTTCTTCGTGTCCAGTATCGAAGCCGTGCTCGTCAGGATTTACATCCCATGGGTGGTACCCGCGACAAGGAGGTCACCGTTCCCCCGACATTGAGGAAAGTGAGAAAATGCCCGAAAATGAATGAACGACCTCAGCTATACAGTGCATCATTATTCCATAGATGGGGGAAGTCTTCGAGGTAATGCCAAGGTGTAATTTTCGCTGATCCGTGGCCATTGGTCCGGTTGAAAAATATTTACCTGCAAAATATCGGTGGCACCGGGGCACGGAAGAGGGAACAGGTGCGTGATTTGCGGGGCCCTTTGGTGATAACGCGTCAGGTTAACGATTGGATAATTGGCTCGTTATACGCTACTGTGTTAAGGTTCCATACCGGTTCGTCGTGCTCTTTTCTTTTCAGGACTCGAATACTCGGTCAGGGTTACGGCGCCGATCTCGGGCGTCCCTTTCGAGAGTAAAGGTAGAGCGTTTTCGTGCTTGGGCATAAACGCGGCGCCGCGGTGTCGTTAAAATTGAAGCTGCCTGCCGAGGTGCACTAACGAGTCAATGAGATGCAAGAGAAAAACGAGGGGCACTCTCTTAAGCCGCACGGAATTAATCTTCGCAATAGGTAACTTTCCGCCTCCTCGACAAAATGGAACCTCCGCATTCCGCTCGTCCGTTTCAGCCCTGTTTCCGGATGGAGAAATAAACTGCGATCGCAATCCTCTGGAATCCTGACCCTGGACATACTTGTCGAGGATAACAGTCACGCCGGACCGAGGAAGTTCCCGATCACCGGACGGCTCGATTCCGCGGTAATCGGCGCCGAGGTCAACCAATTAGCCTCTACGAGTGCACCCGTGCACGCGTGCGGACCTTCCACGGGAATACGCGAGATCGGCTCGTAAAGGGCCGATACAATGATCCCTTGCAGGAGTGGATTTCACGCCAAGATCGGTGTCCATCTCCAGGGAGATCGGGGAATTGGAAAATCGGCGACCTCTTCACCCTGGAGAACGATGGGAGAAACACGAAACTGGTGGAATTCCCGATTCGAATGCAGATCCACGTGCTTTGGGATTCCATCGATTCCGCCGATTCCACGACCGAGGGTGCACTTCACTCCTACATACAAATATTTCTAGAGACGACGTCCAATTTAATTTAGTGCTGAATTTTTTATACTTTGACATTTTCAGGTAAACACTGTGAGGATCTTTGATGATTACCTCCTCTTTTATTGCTGCGTCGGGTGTCGTCCTCTTGCCCAATTTTATAGGGACTTTTGATAGAACTTTTCGGACAGTCTTGAGCGCGCGTAGGGCTTTTTAATTACCTAAGTCAAGGATCATTTTCCCGATTAAACCCATTTTATCGTATCGTGCCTTTGCCTCATTTTATTACCGCTCGTGGCTGCTTTTTAGCAGCCGATATGCACGCGAGCTCACGACCGTCCAATGACCGGCGAGTAGGTAACATCTGCGCGAACGGCATAACAGTATACGTAACCGTATCGAGATTATGCAAGGCCGATAGCGGCCGATCGTAATGGCAGATGTTTTACGTCGGTAAACATAATATTACCCCAACGCTGTACGGGTGTATCCGATGGTGCGCGGTAAGACCTAACGGTGGGGCGCCATAACTCGGCATAATTGTAATCCGATTCTATACTGGAATTTGCTCCCCATTGGGCCTCTTTTCTGGACTCGACGGAACGCACGCGTTCCTCTTCCCCGAGAAACAAGCCTAATTTATGGGACTTTCTTCGCAGATTTCAAGACAAATGGGGAACTGGAGACCGGGACGATAATAGTTCCAGTTGCGACTCTTCAGAGGTGGATTCTTCGAGTTCGGCCATCTTGGACTGGAGAGAACCTCGTCTTCAGGAATCATCGACGTCTATCTCGCCGATCGGTGCCCAAAGGAACGTTGCCGTTTTATTAAGACTCTTCATCAAGCCGAGGGCCTTTGCGATTAAGCGGTCCGCAGCTGGAGGACCGGAAGGAAACGCCATCGTACACCACCAGAGTCAGACCTTCCGGCATCTGATCCGTCCTAGTCGCGGGATACGAGCGGAGAAAATTATTCAGGAATATTAATGACAGCTCCGCGATCGCTGTTCCTTCTGGCTACCATGGTCATTGCCGCGGAATACTCTGTTGCAACCAATCGACATTGAGCGGCCGACATCTTAACGACAGAAGTTTACTGCGACTCGCGTCCAGGGTATCGGTTCGTATCTCGAGAAATGGCTTCGAATCGGCTCTGGCTAATACACCTGGATGTAGGATATTCCGACAATTATGCAGGAATGCTGCCGATAGTTCCATTCGCGAATGCCGTGCCTCATGGTTATCCCAATTGCGTTCTCGGAAGGCCACCTCTCGTAGTGCGAAAAGAAAAATCCCTGCGCCTCTAAGATAAACATTCTGAAGGATTTTCATTAGTCGGTACGCCAAAGAAACGTCCCAATATCTCTGGGGGAAAGTATCGACTCATAGAAGTAATTCTGTACCGGGAATATTTAGAAGATCGTCCCGACCGCAAGACCACTTGGTCGTAATCTCATTCCCTAACTGTTCCCCGTCGGATTTGGAAGGTTGTAATGTAGCGAGATTTATCCGGCCGTTTATCAGATATAATTCCGTTAGCGATAAATTACGTACCTTGGGTACTTACCTCGTGTCTCGGTTGTCCGCAAGGCCTCGTCCGAGATTCCTCTCCGAGAGATGAGCTAATCCCTCCGAAATCCGTCGTTTAGCCTGAGCTGGGATCCCCCATCTCGGAATCTGGGATTCTTGGTCGATCGATGGCTGGAGGACGTTTCTCCGTTGGTATTCCGCGGTTGTCGGAATCGCTAAAGCAATCATGACCGACACCAATACTCGGATAGGTTTAGCGCGCTGCTCCCAGATGGTTTCTCCGACCAGGAACCAACACCAACGCGATGGTGTCGTTATCCGTGGACCAGTCCCGAGATGCTGGGCAGTGCTGGGGACCGGAGAACCCGAGTGTCGTCGGTGAATGTAGGTCCTCGGGTCGCCACCTGTAATCTTCACCTCCTACCTTGCTTCTTCGCTAAAGCTAACTTGGAACCCGAGTGCCCGATGATGGCTCTCGAAATGCTTGAGACCCAGGCGCGGAGAAATTCGACATTCCGTCACATCTTTCCTCTCTTAACTTTGTATACAATCGGGGTTATCTACACACGCCTGGGACCCTACTCCCGAGTTAATACGATTAACTTCCGCATGCGAAATTGACAATATCGTATACGGCTTTAAACAATTGACCAGTGACGCGCTTCACAACAATGCGATATTTTTTCCGTGGGAATGTATTCCTAGGTGGAAAAAAAAAATTCATTTCAATTCGAGAATAGGTGCCCTGGTACCGCGACTGGTGAGTGCGTTACCGTTTACGTTTTTACGATTTTCCGTCCGGGCGGAAATGATTATAAAAGATATGGAATACGGCGGTACTGGATTTCTTGG